CTGTATTGGGTGCATATATATTTAGGATCATTAGCTCTTCTTGATGCATTGATCCTTTTACCATTATGTAATGTCCTTCTTTGTCTCTTTTAATATTTGTTGGTTTAAAGTCCATTTAATCAGAGACTAGGATTGCAACTCCTGCTTTTTTTTTTTTTTTTTTTTTTTTTTGCTCTCCATTTGCTTGATAAATCTTCCTCCATCCTTTTATTTTGAGCCTATGTGTGTCCTTGCATGTGAGATGGGTTCCCTGAATACAGCACACCAATGGATCTTGACTTTTTATCCAATTTGCCAGTCTGTGTCTTTTGATCAGGGTATAGCCCATTTATATTTAATGTTAATATTGTTATTTGTGAATTTGATCCTGCCATTTTGAGGCTAGCTGGATGTTTTGCCCATTGGTCAACGCATTTTTTTCAATGTGTCGATGGTCTTTACCATTTGCTATGTTTATGGAGTGGCTGGTACTGGTTGTTCCTTTCCTTGTTTAGTGCTTCTTTCAGGAACTCTTGTAAAGCAGGCCAGCTGGTGACGAAATCTCTCAGCAATTGCTTGTCCATAAAATATTTTCTTTCTCCTTCACTATAAAGCTTAGTTTGGCTGGATATGAAATTCTAGGTTGAAAGTTCTTTTCTTTAAGTATATTGAATATTGGCCCCACTCTCTTCTGGCTTGTAGGGTTTCTGCTGAGAGATCTGATGTGAGTCTGATGGGCTTCCCTTTGTGGGTAACCCAATCATTCTCTCTGGCTGCCCTTAGCATTTTTTCCTTCATTTCAACCCTGGTGAATCTGACAATCATGTGCCTTGGGGTTGCTCTTCTTGAGGAATATCTTTGTGGTGTTCTCTGTATTTCCTGGACTTGAATGGTGGCCTGGCTTGCTAGGTTGGGGAAGTGCTCCTGGATAATATCCTGAAGAGTATTTTCTAGCTTGGATTCATTCTCTCCGTCACACTCAGGTTCACCTATCAAATGTAAATTAGGTCTTTTCACATAATCCCATATTTCTTGGAGGTTTTGTTCATTTCTTTTCACTATATTTTTTCTCTATTCTTGCCTTCTCATTTTACTGCATTGAGCTGATCTTCAATCTCTGATATTCTTTCTTCTGCTTGGTTGATTCAGCTATTGAAACTTGTGTATGCTTTGCAAAGTTCTCGTGTGTTTTTCAGCTCCATCAAGTCATTTATAGTCTTCTCTAAGCTGTTTATTCTAGTTAGCATCTCATCTAACCTTTTTTCTAGGTTCTTAGTTTCTTTGCATTGGGTTAGCACGTTCTTTCAGCTCTGAGAAGTTTGTTATTACCCACCTTCTGAAGGCTGTTTCTGTCAATTCATCAGATTCATTCTCCATCCATCTTTGATCCCTAGCTGGTGAGGAGTTGTGATCCTTTGGAGGAGGAGAGGTGTTCTGGTTTTTGGTGTTCTCATCCTTTTTGCACTGGTTTCTTCCCATCTTAGTGGCTTTATCTACCTGTGGCCTTTGTAGTTGGTACTTTCAGATGGGGTCTCTGAGTGGATGTCCTTTTTGTTGATGTTGAAGCTCTTTCTTTCTGTGTCTTAGTTTTCCTTCTAACAGCCAGGCCTCTCTGTTGCAGGACTGCTGGAGGTCCACTCCAGACCCTGCTTGCCTGGGGATCACCCACGCAGGCTGCCAAATAGTAAGGGTTGCTGCCTCTTTCTTCTTCTGTTATCTTCGTCCCAGAAGGATAGCTGCCAGATGTCGGCCTGAGCTGTCCTTTATGTGATGTCTCTTTGGGTATATGTGGGTCAGGGAGCTGCTTGAGGGCACAGTCTGTTCCTTATAGGAGCTCAAGTGCTGTGCTGGGAGCTTCGTTGTTCCGTGCAGAGCTGCTGGGCAGGTACTTTTAGGTCTGCTGCAGCAGAACTCATAACTACCTGTTTTCCCAGGTCTCTGTCCTAGGAAAGTCAGCTTTATTTATAAGTTCCTGTCATGCTGCTGCCTTTTTTCATAGATGCCCTGATCCACACAGAGTAGTCTAGTCACAGTAGAGGTGTTGCTGAGCTGCCACAGGCTCTGCCCCGCTGCTGTGTGAACTGCCTGGGTAGTGGCAGACTGCCTCAGTAGTGGTGGTCTTCCTTCCCCGACACTGAGCTGGACCATCCTGGGTCCAGCTGCGCTTGCTGCGAAACTCTCAATCCAGAGCATTTCAGATTGCTTACTTTGTGGGGGTGGCACCCGCTGAGCCAGATCATCTGGCTCCCTGTCTCTGCCCCCTCCCTCTCCGTTGAATGGGCGGCTCTGTCTCCCAAGCATTCCAGGTGCCAGTTGAAATGGCTGCCCAGATTTGTGTGAGTTTCTGTGCGCCAACCCAGCACTGGCCATGCTGAAAACTCATGGCGCTTTTCCGCCCGCACATCTGCTGGTCTATGGGCAGTGAAAATTTGTTTGGAAATGTGGTGGGCACTCACCCTCTGTGTTGTTCTTGTTGCACTCCAGAGCTGTTCCTATTCGGCCATCTTGGATCCAGTGAGTTGGAACATATGTATTTTCAAGTCATTGTTTGGCAGTAACATTTTACAGTATTATCAACTTTGGTCTTTCCCCAAAATATAACCCACAAGGTTATATATTTTTTAATTATTTCTGCTGAAGCCAACTAAAAATGTGTAGGATTAACAAATAGATTTTAAATCAATTTTGGGTTGTAGGGCCAATCAGGCTAATTTTATTGTTTTTGTAATCTCAAGAGATGACACTGGATACACACAAAAGTAACCTTTTACCTAGCAGAGGTAGCAACCAGGAGGAACTAGTTAGTAATTTAGCCTGTATTTGGTGGCTGCGTTTTCCCGAGCTGTCATCAAATATCATGTAACAATTATGCTATTCTGGGAGTTATAAACACTGAAAATCCCATTTTCTGGAAGATCGAACGTGAACCTAACCTGCTCAGATCTGTATCCTATGTCCCACTATCACCTCCTTGTTCGATTTTAATTTCCCACATGTGAACTGACAGGTCTTATCAAGGAAGGCGCTTTGAGCCTGATCAGCTTTATGGTCCTGAAGTCCCAGAGAGTAAAATCCACATTAAGATCTAGCTAAAGGAAAACTTGACATTGACTTCAGCAAAAATGGAAGATGAAGCCTTGTACTTGTTGTTCCCCTTTCTTTACAAGTTCTCTCTCCTTTTTGCTTCTGTCAAGAAAGGAAACCCCAGAATCATCAAGTACTGTGCTTAAGTATGTTCTCTGTCGGTTTACAGTGTCCTCCTAAGAGCATATAGTAGCTCTTCTGGAAAGAGCACAAACTGATGAGCTAACTTCTCACGTCGTGCCTGCCTCCCATGGGCCAACTCTACTGTGAACTCTAAGGTGAAGCCCTCAGAGTTTTCCCTCCTCCAGCTTCCTGAACTCCCATTCCAGGGCAACTCCCTTCCTCCAGGTTCGTGCTCTCCAGGCATCCCATTCCCACCTCCCCTCGGCCTCAGTTTCATGCTGGGCTTAGAATGCCCCGCCCTTTAGCCATTGCATTTGTTCATCCTACAAAAATGTATTGAGTGTTGACCGCAGGGCTGGTCCCAGATACTCCTTAATTATGGCAGAACTTATGTCCTTAGTTTCCCCCACCACCCTGGGCTCCACCTACGAAGGATGAGGCAGCTGGACCCCATGACAACAGAGATTTAACGCACAGCGTTGGGGAGGCCTAGTGTCTTGTTTTAGAATACTTTAGAATGTAGTAACTGTGGAATGCTTCTTAGTCGCAGCACTTCATACCCCATGGGTTATTTTAATCTTTGAGCTATGATTATTGGTTTGGGGTAATGTAAATTTGTGTTTGACAAACCTAAGAAAGGAGATTATTGGTGTCTTCTAGAAATGTAGCTCTTACTTCCCCCGGTTCCTTGCAGTCTTAGAAGGCCCTAAGTTATTTTATTTTTATTTTTTTACAAAATCGTAACACTTTAATTAAGGCTTTTAGTTTACATTTGGCCACCTCAAAGTAGTTATAACATTAGGTTGGTCAATTTAAATACTGTGGCTTCCTGTTGGATAGACACACAATCTTTACATTTAAATGTTAATGCATACAAAGCAACAAGACATTGTTAAATAAAACAGCAGCGGTTACTGCAAATTAGGCCTGTGACCAATTACATATGATTAAAATTACTCTCTGCATTCACATGCACAGGACTCATCCACAATTTTACATCCCAACCAAAACATTGCACATGTGAAACAACCACCCACTGGCAAAAATACTAAACCTGTACATTAGTATTACAAGTACACTTATGCAAGAGCAAGCAGGGGATTCACAGTGAGAATCAATAGTTGCAGAAGCCTGAAAATGATTTACAAAAATTGTTAAATCATTAAAAATATTGTCTGAAAATATATACTTCTTGCAGACCCCCACTGTACACATGACCATAAACATTTTTCCCTATATAAACAAAAAAGAAAACAGATAATAAGACATTTGAAAAGTCTGGACATTTCCTTCCCAACAGATATTAAAGGCAATGTCTTTAAGACATTATAATGAAAAGACTATCTTTTTTTTTTGAGACGGAGTTTCACTCTTATTACCCAGGCTGGAGTGCAATGGCATGATCTCAGCTCACTGCAACCTCCACCTCCTGGGTTCAGGTAATTCTCCTGCCTCAGCCTCCTGAGTAACTGTGATTACAGGCATGCGCCACCATGCCCAGCTAATTTTTTTGTTTGTTTGTATTTTAGTAGAGATGGGGTTTCACCATGTTGACCCAGATGGTCTCAATCTCTTGATCTCGTGATCCACCTGCCTTGGCCTCCCAAAGTGCTGGGATTACAGGCGTGAGCCACCGCGCCTGGCCAAGACTATCATATTTTAAAGACAAGATCACTGTCTCCACAGCTTTTTTAAAAATTAAAAAACTACATAGCTATGTTAAAGCTCTTACTAGGTACAATAATAATGACCTTAAATTTCTTTTAAAAAATTGCAAGAAGCTACAAGTATCAAAGAACTGAAGTTATCTAGAGTAGTCTGTATAGGAGCTCTTTGGACCTTCTTTTATTATGCTAAAATTGTGGTGCTTTTAAGATTTACATTATTGTACTCTCCAATGCAAAGTTTGGGACATGTTAAAGTATACAATACACCATTTTCATACATGCAGAACATTGGTGGATGAAGAATGTCTCTTAGCAGTAATGCTAGATGTAGCCTCTGGTTCAACCAGCTGCATACTCTAGGACTATTATATAAGTAAAAATCTCTCTTGTGATACTGGAAAGTGATTAGAATGTGCAAACTGATAGTAGCTTTCATCCTCCTGTTAAAGAGTACCACCACAGGAAAGTCTATTTAAGATGTTGGTGGGTTTAGCAAAGCTGGAATGCTGGCACTGTTGAATTGGGCAACAGTTCTTCAGACCTAGCTCAGAGCTACAATGCATTTAGTATATTAAAGCAGCTGACATGACAACTTTTTGCGAGCCTTCCCAGGCACTGGAGTTTTTCTGTTAATTTGCTGCACTAGGTCATAAAAGATCTCATTAAAACTTATTTTTGATTTTGCAGAAGATTCTAAGAATGCACAGTTGTTCCATTGTCTGGCTAGATTTTGACCTTGTTTCTTCCCTACAACTCTTTCATCTTCCAAGTCACAATTATTACCAACAAGAATCATTGGAACATCATCAGTGTCTTTAACTGAAAGACTCTATTCTCTCAGGTCTTGTAAATTGTTACATGTGAACTGTGCTGTGATGGAATAAACTAATGCAGAGCCTTGTCCATTTTTCATGTACAAATCCCTCATTGCTGTAAATCATTCCATTCCTGCAGTATCCCAGATTTCTAGCATACACTGCATCTACTTGAGCTTGCTTTCTATAAGAATCTTCTGTCATGGGATCATATTTTTCAACAAAAATTCCTTAAAACAAATTGTACAGTCAAAGCAGACTTTCTAATGCCTCCTGAGATGAGAACGGCTAGCTTATACTCACGCATGATGCAAACTCAGAGCCTACTACCTCTCACGCTGTCACCGGGTCCCTGCAGCCCCGTGCTCCCTCTGGGTCACTACTCTTGCCCTGGCCCTGGCGGGCAGTCCTGCCGCTGCTGCGCTCCCACTACAGCTGGTTTACAAGCCTGACTGGGTGAGGTTTGGCGGTGTCCAGAAAACCCTAAGTTCTATCAAGAAGGAGCTCACAAAGTGGAAACACAGGTCACATCATTCACACACCTTCCCACGCACACACACACCTGATGCCATTACTTTCTACTAAAGCATGAGACAAGCCCATGGTCACTTCCTGCCTCAGGATTTCATAAGGTTTTCAACACTGAATAAAGCCAAAATATGTTTTATTTTAGAGTCTCATTTAGAATCTCTTGAATACTATCAAACAGGTAAATGAGCTAAAAATTTAATTTCGAAGATAACCACATCTCTAGATTCTGTATGGAATAGAAAGCTACATTCAGTAACTTCTCATCACTGCCTTAATAATGCCAGACTATTCCAGTGGGACGTATCAGTGATATTATCAAGAATTTCTTCTGAATTGTTTGGCTGTGTCATCATACCATGAATTTTAGATGGCTCATCCCAGCTGCAACCAAGAGAACACCCTGCAGTCAGCATTACAGAATATGATGGAATTATTTGAGTGTGTAATAGAAATATCAAATGCTCCACCCTGAACTGACCATATTTAAATTAAATTTTGAAACTCGTAAACAATTTAGGAAAAAAAAAATATAAAAGATAGCATCCCAGCCACAGGGTGAATACTGATTGATTTTTTATTTACTTATTTATTTTTGAAATGGAGTTTTCCTCTTGTTGCCCAGGCTGGAGTGCAATGGTGCAATCTTGGCTCACTGCAACCTCCACCTCCCAAGTTTAAGCAATTCTCCTGCCTCAGTTTCCCAAGTAGCTGGGATTACAGGTGTGCGCCACCACACCTAGCTAATTTTGTATTTTTAGTAGAAACGGGATTTCACCATGTTGGCCAGGCTGGTCTCAAACATCTGACCTCAGGTTGTCCACCTGCCGAGGCCTTCCAAAGTGCTGGGATTACAGGTACGAGCCACTGCACCTGGCCTTGTGATTAGTTTTTTTTTTTTTAAATGTTTGATTTCTCAGACTTAAGGAAGAAGGGTAATTTGGACTCTGGTTGAGTCACTTTTTAAATGATGGTCTTCCTAAATGACCTAGATCAGTGTCATATCAACCTAGGAGGCATTAGCCAACGACTGAACTGATGACTTCTTGGAGAAACACAGGGTATGTAGGAGGAGAGCAACATGATGGGTCAACTGTGCTATACTAGGTACTATCTGATGAAACAGTGCAAAAAATAAAGCAAGGCAATATGTGTGTTTTTATATATATTACTAATTACTGGATAGTCCCAGACTCTGCTATAACTATATATAAATGTCCAGCTGTAGATAGGTATCTTTAAATGTAAATATCTTTATATACACAGCTATGTATGGCTGAAGGCAAATTAGTGAAACAGTCCTGTCTCGCCTCTTTGCTTAAATTGAACTCTGCTGAAATGATTCCAGACAAATGCCTAGGTTATTCCTAAAGATCTTTAGGGAGGCAGATATGACAGCCTCTTAGTATTTTTTAAATATTAAGGTTATCGGTCAGTGCTAAGGGCACAGCCATCCTCAGCTTTACCACTTACAGCTGTGTGACCTTAAGCAGGTCTTTTTACCCTTCCCAGCCTCAGTTTTCTTATCTGTAAAATGGGGATTAAAGATAGTGCTTTCTTTGTGCAGTTGTTGAGAGGACTGAATGATGCATGCCAAGCTCTTAGCCTTGGTACTTGGTCAGTAATGGGCATCCTGTAAACGTTTGCTATTGTTATTATAATAGGGCACCAAAATGAAATGTCTGGGCATTAAATTGCTCATTTAAATGTTTCCACAAGGGGGCCATGTGCAGTGGCTAATGCCTGTAATCCCAGCACTTTGGGAAACTGAGGCATGCAGATCACATGAGGTCAGGAGTTCGAGACCAGCCTGACCAGCATGGTGAAACCCTCATCTCTACTAAAAATACAAAAATTAGCCAGGCGTGGTGGTGCATGCCTGTAATCCCAGCTACTCAGGAGGCTGAAAGAGGAGAATCACTTAAACTGGGGAGGCAGAGGTTGCAGTAAGCCAAGATCATGCCACTACACTCCCGCCTGGATGACAAAGCAAGCCTTCATCTTGAAAAAAATTTAAAAATACAGTGGAATAAAAAATAAATGTCTCCACAAGGGTCCTGAAGAAAACTTCCAGGTAGCTTTGTGCCAGTCACTGCTCAAACTCCTGTTTCACTGGCACTGAGTCAGGACACACAGGCGTCACTGGGAAGGCTGTTTTCCACAGCTGTGGTTATTACGCATCTTATTCTCTTTCTTTGTTCCAGCTTCCAAGGCTTCCCTAGATCACAAGAGAAACAAATCGGAATCAGAAGGAAACCAGCAAAGACTGGAGTCTTAGATTCAAGGCCTCAAGAGCCCAGCAGTTTACAAAATTCTGGATCTAAAACATGCCCTGGGGCCTCCCTTCCAAATGCAACAATCTCCTATTGACTAAAATATAAGATGTGAAGGTCTTGGGCCCCTTTTTGGTCACCCTATGCTCCTTGTGCATTGAATTCTCATGTTCCAGCATTGGTGGCTATAGCCTGGTGGCAGGTATTAAGCATTTCAAGAGTCTATGTAGCAGCCCCTCTTCTTTGGGGTGTTGCCCTCCTCAAGGAGCATGCTCACAGAGGCCACAAGCTTATGAGTTCTTTCTCCGAGCTCAGTGATGCTTGACAAGATTGGCAGTTTAAAGTCCTGGGCTTTAAACTGCCATCTCTGACATGCAGCGAGAGTCCTACAGATCATAGGGACCACCCACCAGCTGCCTTGTCCACACTTCATCACCCCCACACACATGCCCACTTTGCACTCTGGCCTGACAGTGTGATTTGCACACAGGTGTCCAGGAGGCGGTGGTGAGCTGCTTGAACAAACAGACTCGGGAGCCTGCTGATGAGAACCTGTGCGTGACCAGCCGCCGGCCCCCACAGCTCCTGAAATCCTGCAATTTGGATCCCTGCCCAGCAAGGTAAGGGATGTGTGGCCTGCCCTGCTGTCCAGGGGCGTGCACATAACTGGGTGCATCTTTCAATGGGCAAGACTGAAATATACTTATTGTTACTCGATGTTTTGAAAACCAATTAGCATCAGTTCAAACTTTTAGTGAAATCCACTTAAGTTTAATTGAAACCAGGGCTTTGGAATTCCAGCCCAATCAATGGTCATGCCAGAGTCTGGAATATGCCGTGCATTGACATGAGCCTGTGGCAAGGCTGGTATGTGTGTGTGCCATGCAGTTGCTTTCTCCTGAAGGGAACATGAGCTGACCACAGACATCATGGGCTCTGCCACCTTTTAGCCTATGTCCTAAGCACTCACACTATAGTAATGAACTGGTCTGTGAATTGCAGAATAGAAGGACCTGAAGCATCTGGGTGGTACAGCTGATCCACTGTGAAATCTATATGCAAACACCATGCAGATCTGTTACAGCATGCTCCGGGAGTGTGTGTGCCATTCCACATGCATAAAATCAATTAGAGCATTTCATTGTTCAGCCCTCCCTGGGTCTCATTATTACCCAACCTTGAGTCACAGCCTTGATTGAGTTAATCAGTCCAATCATTGCTTCAGTCCATACAATTTTATGGTGTCTTCAGAAACTTGCCTTTTAGATATTTATTTTTGAGCAAACCTCATCTATAGTTCTGGCTTGGAAGGGAGACGTTTAAGAACCAAAGCCAGACTTTCAAATCTGCTGATGGAATGAAGAAATGTTACCGAATAGGGTCAGATCCTTGATGAAAAGGGGAATGCTGATTCTGAATGATAGTTTTTCTGCCAAGTGTGTCACATAAGGAGCAGTTAATACCTGTATTGCTTTCAGGCATTAACCATAGTTTGCTGGTCACACTGATGCACTGCTTGTATTATTTCTCAGCTGGCTAGATTCTTTTCTTTGTGTCTTGGAGGATACAGATCATAGTCTTCCTCCAGTCAGATGGAGGCACATCCCATGGTGACTCTTCTCCTGCTAGTCACCAGAGTTGTTCTGTATGATGATCTGGATGGTGGACCTGGGCATCCCCTCTTCAAATACAGAAGGGGGAAACTAGTGTCGCCTTCCCCAAGGCAACCAGAAAAATCAGTCAGCAACTGCTTTGGAGAAGCATGCCACCCATGAGAACAGCGGTCATCAAGATAAGAGTCCATGTCGGGTCCAGTACATGAAATCCTGAGTAGCCTTTTTCTATTTCTGTCCCACCTTGTTCCACATCTCTATCCCAACTCCACAGCTCTCTAGTTGTTGAGCCTAAGACTAGGTACATGGGAAACAGCATGAACTTTTCTATTTGACTATAGTCCCGTCATCTAGGAAGAGGCAGTGTCGATTCAGCATGGACAGCCTGCAAGGTTCTTGGTTAGGCCACCAAGAGGCCTGGTTTCTCATCCTTCCGGTCACCAGCTAGCTCTATGGCCCAGGGCTAGGAGTCTGCCCTTTATGTTTCCGCATCTGCAAAGTGAACTAGTTGTGCATGATGATCTGAGGTCACCATGACCTGTTCACATGTCCCATGATTCTTTGTTTTGTAGGCGGAAGCATTAAACAGCTACTCCTGCTGCTGTGTGCTGATCATTGCTGTAATTTCTTTTCTGCTTATTTGTCATTATTTGAAAAACTTGCAGAAAGGTCTTTCTAACCACATTCCCATGTTGTTACAATGCCCAAATGCTGAGGCAGTGCCGAGGAGTTGGTGCCCGGGACTTGCTGAAAACTGCTTGCGCTCGTGGTTTCCAAACCCTTCTTTAAGCAGCAAAAGGAATAGGACATGAGATGTTACTTCTCATTCTCAAAGTACTAACTATGGTTAAGTTAGATGAGGTTAGATTATCCTGTGACCTTTCTGTTGACTC